GAAAATAAAATTCCATATGATGGGCAAATCCCCTTGATGAGGAAGGCTTAATTGTTTGCACACTATTTAATTGATAATTTCCATAATATTATTCTGACTCGATATAAATGGTGTTTTATTCGAGAAACAGGAAGACCTAATCATTTCAAAGTTAACTGCTTTAAAGACCGGATTATTGGGTTTAAAAAGAGACGAAAAAAGAAACTTTCAAAAAGAAAGCCTAAACTCTTAACCAAGGCAGAAGAGTTGACAGAAAATGTTGTCAGTGCCTTTTTTCAAATTTATGAAAATGTATTAGTTAAAAATGATCTTTTTGACAAACCACACAGGATTTTTAATCTTGATGAGCTTGGCTTAGGGACAAACCCTTTTGCTTCTAAAGTGTTTGTGCCAGTTTTATCACGTACTCCTTATCAGAAATCAGCATATTCTTTTCTGTGTATCTGCCTCAGGATAGTCTCTGCTACTATTTATTGTGTATAAAAGGGTACATTTGTATCAGTCATGGGTACAAGTTGGACCTCCAGGTATTTATTATGCAACAACAAAGTTTGCATGGATGGAAGACACAGTTTTTGAGTCATGTTTTTAACATTTTATTATAAGCACTAAATGTTTTAAGAAACTTGTGCTGCTCATTTATGATTACCATAGCAGTCATCTAACTTATGGAACAGTGAAGTACGCAATAACAGAAAATATGATAATACTATGCTTGCCACCTTACACAGGTTAGCCTCTAGACATTGGGGTCTTAAGAGCATTAAATCTTGCATGAAAGGTTTTCCCTTTCCTTGTAAAGCAACTCTATGATCAGTTAACAGAGAAAAAGTGCATTCAGAAGTAGCAGGTTTTATCCTCTAACATGGGTCCCAAAGAGCCAAGATTGAGACTGATTTGAGATTTATGGAGATAAAGAATAGAATCCGTAGTAAGAAATCGGCGAGTACGATAAAGAGATGCATTCTTAGCAGATGCTAATTTTGCAATCAATTTGATATATGTTTTCTGAGAAAAATTGGAAGGCTGGAAAACAAGACTATGATAAGCATTTGTTAAATAGTTTTGAAAGAAAAGACAACAGTTCCGGAGAACACTTCTAAAAGACTATGACAGGTATGTTGTCCAGACTTTAAGCTGTAGAAGAGTCTAAGCAGGAAATCACTTTGGATACAGAAGCTGGAGTGATATGAATCTCAAGCAATGGATCAACCTGTTTGTTGGCTATATCAGGTAGAACAGAAATAGTGGAATCAAAAGACGGCATTGATGAAAAGTTCTTAGCAATCAAGAAGTATTGTGTAAGAAGTAGAATGTAAGAAGCACATTTGTCATCAGGAAGACAAAAGATTTCTACACAAGGACCATCACAAGGAAAATCACAAGGAAAAAAGAGGTACAATGATAGGGGAATTCTGGTGATGAAGAAGATTTAAATAATAGTTTTAGAGAGATCAAACCATGATCAGAAATACCTAAGAATGAATATGGAGAAACAGAGAAATGACTAGGATCAGAAACAAGACATAAGTTAAGTAGAGAAGGTAAATGATTGCGATTGTTTGAAAGCGAATTGGAAAGTTGACTATTTGACTTAGAGATTGAGAAGAGCAAAATTTGTGGGCCTTAATGCCTGCAGAGTCACTGACACTAGAGTTTGCCATTCAGTGTGATGAGCATTAAAGTCACCATCAACAACAATGGCTGATGGTTAAAGAAACAATTGGCTGATGGTTAAAGAAAGAGAGCTTGATCAATTTGATCGGAACTAATATCGAAAAGAGTGCAGTCTTAAGATGAAGGAGAACAATATAGAGCAAAGAGAAAGACAATAGAGTGAAGTAGTGCTAAATACACATAAAAGAATAGTCTGTGGATTCAAACCTAGTTTCCCGACAAATGGGTGAATTCTTACAAATGGAAATGCTCAGGCCAAGCAAGTGACTGTTGGAGTCTTTACGAATTAAAGTAAGATAACCATCAATACTAAGATCACAAGATGAGACAGCCAAACTCAAATTAGTCTCACAAAGAGCAAGTAGGTCTGGTGAACTTTGCAATAGAAAAGACTGAACAGTAGCAAAATTACTTCAAAGACCACAAATATTAGTGAATGAAAGGGATAAAGAACTTGACGATGATGATGATTTTTTGTGTTTTATAGTTTTTAAAATTTGTTAAAGAACTTGACTCAAAGCATAGATAGTACCCAGCATAGATAGCACCCACTATTTATTAGTCCAAGCAATTGCCTCATTACTATTAATAAACTTTGAGCCATAACAAAAGGCTCCAAATGTGGCCTTGACAAGGCACACTAAGAGTATGAATTGGGACACCATTCATGCGCAACATGGCATTGTTAGTACTCTGATATTTTACAGCTGTTGATAGAATTCGCCTCTCTGAGAATTCCCACAGAGTTCGAGAAACCTGACTACCAGCTGGACTCAGAACCATAAAACTGAGTTTTAGAGTTGTACCCTCATTAGGGGAAACAAGGAAAACACATGCATTGAGTCTAGACTTTATAATTTATTTGACCCTGTTTAATTCCAAAAGGTTTTATCATATGATATTATTATAGAAAAATCTATAAGTTATTTTTTTCATCAAATTATAGAAATTTTTGTTTTTTTATAGATTACTAAAGAGTTTGTTTATTTACTTATTATTATATAAAAGTTTTTTTTTTCCATCAACTGTAGAATTTATTTAGTTATTTTATTTTTTTTATTTTTAGGTTTCACAAAATCCACATTAAAAATATTAATAATTTATTTCAGATATTTTAAGCTTGTTTATTGCTATAACTTATTTTTGCGTTATATTTATTGTTATTAAATGATGATTATCTTTTTATGTTCATTTACGCGTGTTCTTGAAAAGTATGAATTCTGATTGAAGTCTGATCCTCTAAAGCCAGGGTTGAAAAAAAAAAATCCCAACTCAATAAAAACCCAAAAAACCCACTTAAAAAATCCTGAAAACTGAAGTATATTTGGGTTTTTTTAGATTGTTTAAAATATATTTTATTTTACAAATAATAAGTCTGATTTGAGCTCCTATAAATATTATATTATAAACAGATTGTAAGTTTTATACTTTAAATACTCTTGTATTTATATACAAAAAATAGTATTTAGATATGCCATTTTATATTGGTTATTTTTTTATTATTTTATATATTATTTTTTTATTATTTTCACAAGAAGACGTGCGATTGCACGTCTTCTTGTGAAAATAATAAAAAAACCATAAAAATTGCTTCATATCAAGTTCAGGTGCATATTATTTTAATAAAATTTAAGTTTAGGGTGTAGCATGTCTGTATGTAATTATTTGCTAATTTAAAGTGACATTTTTTATCAAGATTTTAATTTAGGAAATTAGCCACCAAATTACAAAGGAAAAGCAGAATAGCTGATGTTATAAAACAAGTTACACTCAAGCAGACCTAGAAACAGCTGTAAATAAAGTGAAAACTATGGATTTACCATAAGGAAGGCTGCTAAAACTTATAACATTCCATAAGGAATACTACATAAAAAAAAAATAAAACCTGGGTATCAAGTTCCAAAAAAGCATGGTGGACAAACCAGACTTGATAGATCAACAAATCCACTTGCAAAACAAATCTATCCATAATCTTAAAAGTAAAAACATGTTTTGTTCAATGTCACTCCAAATCAGCCAATCATTCTCACCCCATTTTAAAAATTAGAATATGATCATATATAATAAGACTTAATGTGGTAGTAGACTAGTCGTAAAATGTTTGGCTCACAATTAAGAATATATATACATATATATATATGTATATATATATATATATATATATTTATATATATATATATATATATATATTATATATATATATATATATGTGTGTGTGTGTGTGTATATATATATATATATATATATATATATATATATATATATATATATATATATATATATATATGCAGTGTGAATAAAAGCTAAGTGTTCCTTAAGTGGAAACATATATAAATATTTGCAATTAAATTTCAGTTTTCCATGTATCGTATTTCTATACTGTCGACATGATTGAATTTTGAATTAATCATTTTAGTAAAACACTAATATAAAAATACTATTATATTATTTTATTTCTGATTACTTCTACATTTTACTGTAAAAGTTTATTTCTCTTATTTTTTATGAATTAAAATGTCATCAAATATAAAAATTTTGACAAGCACTATTATAATAAATAGGGAAGCAATAAATTGGTAAAAAAGAATTATGTAAGTAAAATAACACATTTTTCTTTTGCTCAGAGCTATTTCCGTTTGTTTTTTTTTTAATTTATATTTTTTCTCTTAAGTAAATTCAATAAACTTTTTTTGCAACTCTTGCATGAGATTTTAAGCATTTTGCCTGCTTTTTATCATACTATTTATTTAACTAATAACATAATACAGAACAATTATACAGTATAGCTATTGCTGTTACTACGGACACTGGCTAAAGCCTGTCATTTCTGCTGAAGCCTATATAAGCTATGTAAACTAAAAGTGAGAATGTGAATAAATAATTTAATTTTAGGAACACCTTTAGATAAAAGTATTAAAAAAAAAACAGGAAAAAAGAGCATTTTAGAAAAAAAACAGATTTTTGGTAAACAGTCTTGAAAAAGCCTTTTTTTAAAAAATGAAAAAATTGGTTTTATTCGAAAAGAAACCTCTAAAATGTTTTTGTTCTGAAAATTTTCCTTTTAACAAAGAAAAGTTGCATAACTTTTGAGAAGAGTTTTACTTTTTAAGTATCATAATCTTTATTTTGGTGATTTTACATTTTAATGTTTTACATTTTAGATTTTACATTTTAATTTTAATGTTAATAATTTACATGTTCTAAATATTTTTAATTGTTATAAATGTTTTACATTGTTTTTTTAATACTTTTTTATATTTATTTATTTTATAAATATATTTTCTTCAAAAATTTTTACTATACTTTTAGTATTTGAATTATAG